CAAAGCACTTTGGTTATAAGGGCGCTATTACATTTTGCATATCTTACAAAGAACAAAGCACTTTGGTTATAAGGGCGCTATTACATTTTGCATATCTTACAAAGAACAAAGCACTTTGGTTATAAGGGCGCTATTACATTTTGCGTATCTTACAAAGAACAAAGCACTTTGGTTATAAGGATGCTGTTACGTTTTGTGTATCTTACAAAAAACAAAGCACTTTGATCATAAAAACGTTCAACTAATATATGACTAAATTCCTAGTATTTCATTCCTCCATCACCCAGCATAAAAAAAGGAGTTTATAAAACCAATTAAATCAAGTGAATTTCTGTGATTATACTAATCATATTTCACAATTATCTAATAAAACAACAGAAAAAAGCCACACACATAATTTTCAGAAGTAGCGAAAATTACATGCGTTTGTACACTGCGCTATTGATTACATCAGATTCTGAAGTGCTAAAACTTTCATGTAATGAACATAATCTTACACGAAATATTTGAAAGAAATATAATGAATTAAAAAGTGAAAAAACAAACAACAGAGTTTCAGAATTTCCTTTAAAAACTGGCTTACATAAAAACCAGCTCATGCTTGTATATAATAATCTATCCAAAAACGCTTGAGCAAGAAAAAAAATCAAAATTTAGCTTTAGCTCAAAAGCAGGTGATACCTCATGAACACAGCAAAATAAAGCAACTTGGAATAACTCTTTTTGCATCATTCTGTTCATGTGGTTATGAGATATTACATAGTGTATCAGTTAAGTAACAGTTTGGCTGTTATTGGTTGTTGTATTTTTTTTTTCTCAAACGTTTCCGGTTGCATTTCACGTATTTTTGTGTGTTAAATCAACCCAAGACACCTACACCGTAATAATTATTGTTTTAACTATATATTTAAGGAGAAGCAACTCATACAAGAAAGTAATGTACAAATCAGGATATTGTTAATATTGTAGACATTATAAAATAGATTACAAAGAACAAAGTACCTTGATCATAAAAGTACCGCTACGTTTTGTGTATCTTACAAAGAACAAAACACTTTCATCATAAAACGATCTAAAGATCCGCTGGTCAAATCATATCAATTCATCTCTCAATTAATACCTTAGATCCTGTCTTAATTGTTTGTTTGTTTTAGAATAAAACCACATTTGGCTATCTGCTGTGACCACCGTGGGGAAATGGAACCCTGTATTTGAGCGTTGTAAGTCCGTATCCTTATCGCTGTTCCACCAAGTCTTAAAACGAAAAATTAAAAATGACGTGTTTCTAAAGTCATTTTTCTTTTTTCATAATGTTAAGATATTTTATTAATGTTTCTTCCAATAGGTTAATATTTTTTGGGTTTAATTTTTATGATTTTTAACTTGAAAGGTTATGTGTGTATATATATATATATATATATTACCTTTGTTGTTGTTTTCCAGGAGGGTCTCACCTGTATGTTGGTGTTTACCATTATTGCTGCCGTCCTTGGAATGTTTCAGTTTGGCTACAACACTGGAGTTATCAACGCCCCGCAAAAGGTAATGAAACCGGTTTGTTATAACATATATGTTTCATGATCTTTCGGCTATTTTAAGGTGACACATGCACCTTGCCGGAGGCCAATCGCAACGTTTTTGGAATATTTCATATACATTTATAAAGATATGTCAATAAAAGTTAATAATCTGACAGAAAAAAACAACTAAACTTTCTTCTCGTGCAACTATTTTTTTAAATCCAATAATAAATAAGTAGTGAAATTGAAATTATTATTCTTATTTTGGTTTGGTTTGGTTTTTGTTGAGCGCAAAGCTACACAATGAGATTGATATCTTTGCTTTGCCCACCACAAATATCAAAACCCGATTTATAGCGTCGTAAGCCTACAGACTTACTGCCGAGCCACTGGAGAGGGGTGAGACTGGGGCTTTTATTTTTGTAAAAAAACAGCATATGGCCTTGCCATTAATAAATAACAAGCTCATGTTATATACTTTAGAGCTACACGGGCGTAGCTACGAAATTATAGGGCTAAATTCAAAACACTTTGGTTTGTTTGTTGTTAAGTGTAAAGCTACATAATGGACTATTTATGGTCTGCTCATCACGGGATCGAAACTCGACTTTTAGCGCTATAAGCCCTCAGATTTACCGCTAAATCACCGGAGCACCTAAACCCTTTGGACAAATGTACATAAGATCATGCATACTTTAGATAGTTATAAATATCTAATTATTAAAAATTACATATACGGTTGTTTGAACTGAAAATTTGTAACAAGTATTAATTTCTACTTTCAATTTTCACTCAAATAGTTATTCAAAAAAAAATGTTTGAAACTCTAGAGAAATCTGTCAGCAGATTACTAGATTAACAAAAAAATAATTTTATAATAAGGAAATAAATTTGTCAATTGTATCAAGTTAGGTACGTTCAAACTGTTTTAGTTTACAATAATGTGGTATTAAAGCTATAATATGGCGTACTGAAAAGCCTTAGTTCTGGAAAATAAAACATTAATACATATTTAAAAACTGATATAATAATGTATTCATGATTTAATATTTGATGACATTCAAGTCATTTTGAAGCTAGGTATTGCTACTAAATCCTAGACAAGTGTCACCTTAACATTACCTGCCTTCAGATGCGTATGTGTTACCTTAACGTTCAGACGTGTATGTGTCACCTTAACGTTCAGATGTGTATGTGTCACCTTAACGTTCAGATGTGTATGTGTCACCTTAACATTACCTGCCTTTAGGGGTGTATGTGTCATCTATAGTACACAGGATACCTAAAAACAATAATATAATATTAGACTCTACTGTAAAATTTTTCTACATTTCTCATAATTTGTCCATTAAGGATTTCAACTCAAGGTTTTGTAAAACTCCCTTTTCAGATCATGTTTTATATATATATATGTATACCACGAGTTATTGCTCGGGAGACTTTTCCTTCAATAATAGAACTCATCAGCTAGGCTGAACTATGACATCCAAAATTTTATTCGAAACACTCATTTTATATATGCGATACGAGATCTTTATAAAACTAATAAAGCCATGAAGGGAGCGCCGATAGCTAGAGAAACATTGAAAGCTAATAGGCCTGACAGTTTTATTACACTGCACATTTGGCAGACAAAAATTATCTCTAACGCTTTATTTTTTCATTCCTTATATGAAATCTATAATGAACAGATTAAATGTAACGTGGGAGAAAATATAAACATTTAAAGTTTAATATGATTTTTGATCACGAACATTAGGCCTATTGTTTTTCAGTACTTTCGACGTTCAGTGCAGCAGTGATAAAAATTATTAATTAACGTTGTTGGATACAACATCACAGTGGAAGAGCGAACTGAACTAGAAACTTAAGAGCAGAAAAAAGAGCAAAGAACAGAGTGTAAATGGTTATTTTTATAACAAATTATGGATCTTTTAAACTGTACGATTATCAGTATTATTACAACAGCAGGTTACTAGATTAACAAAAAATAATTTTATAATAAGGAAATAAACTTGTCAATTTTATCAAGTTAGACTGGGTTACCCTTTTTCAATAATATCTAGAAACAGTATTTGGGGACTTGTGCAAAATCCTTACCTCCTCATGGGTAGATTGATTATAAAAATAGTTTAAATATATATAAATAGAAAACTTAACCAAATTGATATGCCTTATAAGAACGTACATGCAGTAACAACAGGCAGCATCACTTAATAAAAACTAGTACTAATATTAACTTAGGCAGGGAATAATACTCATAACTTGGTAGTAAATCTCTTAATCAAAGTAAGTCTTGAACACGGATTGAATCTAAGCCTAAATCATGACTTAACACTAACAGTATCTTAATCAGTCAGTAAGCCTTGAATACAGTAATCGATCAATAAGCCCAAGTCATAACTTAATGCTAATAGTATCTTAATCATTCAGTAAGCCTTAATCCGAACTTGAATGTAATAACAAAATAACTTGTCAGTAAGCCTAAGTAATTGCTTAAAACTAATAGTATTTTAGTCAGTCATACTTAACCAGAACTTGAATTTGATAATAAAATAATTAGCCAGTAATCCTAAGTTATTGCTTAATACTCATAGTATCTTAGCCGGTCAGTAAATCTTAAGCAGGACTTGAATGTCTTAATGAAATAATCAGTCAGTAAGCCTGAACTATAATTTAACATTACAGAAACGTTAATGACGTCTGGGATTACTACTTGAGTAAGTCGGAGTTGTTACGGATATCAATTTCATGAAACTAGTTTTTTTAATCACATCAAATTCATTTAAATAATAATAATAAGTGCTTTCAATTTTTCAAGAGTGTTTTAGTTCTTTAGGAAATGTTTCAATTTTCAAATACTTTACGATCTATCGACAAATACGAGATAAAAATAACACCAAAGAGACTATGATTTCGCTCTTTTAATCCCTATTAGTAACGAAATCCAATAATTTAAATATTGAATCTTGAGTCACGTTGTCTTATATATTTATTGGATCACAAAGTCCCTCTATTGTTACCGTGAATAGCATTTCTGCTTCACAACCAGGAGTCGATCAACCCAGCGTTGGTTGTTACTGCGAGTTAAAATAACTTTATAAACACGATGTTCCAGGTCTTGTGTTGTCCTTTGAGCTACTTTCTCCTTCGTCAATCCTACTCAGTCTGATAGCTATGATTACGCACTACCGCCCGACGCTGCAATTTAACAAACTTCTGCGAAGTAGGCAGAGGCAATCTTATACACCACATCTTGACAAATCCTTCATAACTCTCCACTATACACGGTTTTCGGCTTTCAGTGTTATCCTCAAACAGAACAAAAGGCGCAATAATCAGGGAACATGACAGGTATGTGGTCGAACGGGAATGCCATAATTCTAGTTTCTTCTCTTCTCGTTCTCATGAGAACAACGTTGATTTAAAGGTGTTTCTAGAAGCTTGTGGAAACTGAGCTTCTGAGCTTTTGTCAAATTCAAATCATTATTTATTCCCTGGTGCTTAACTTCATCGCAGTGGTGTTTTAGGTCAGAGGGTTCTCTGTCGTAACTGTAGTCTTTTCTTTGTGAATGAAGACAATGTTTCGAATTGACTTGGGTCGAACTTATTTTTTTTTCTCTTGACACGTCTAACTTCTTCTGAACAACTTGAACACTTAGAAGCAGCCACAGTAAGGTTACACCCTCATAAAATGTTTTAAAACAACAGCTCACGAAAGTATCTTAACGCAAAGAACACCAATAATTAAACAGAATGTAATATATACACGAAAACTTCGCATCTATATCAACATCTAATGAAACACATGACAACCATTTAGAAAATACTATTATATACTTTCTAAAATTCATAGTTTAGTTAAAATTCGTACAGAAATTGTATAGTTCTATTTATGTAAGTGCGATAATAATATCAAGATTGTGTGTGACAAACAACAGTAGTATCTATTAAATATTGTATCAGCTTCGAAAATAAATTAAGCCATTTATGTAAATTGGCTTATGTGATTATTAAATATATCCAGCTGAATCGAAGTTAGTAGTCACTTCCTGGACACTTACTATGGTAAAAGTATTATAGAATAACTAATTATTTTCTCAGGATTGTATTTAGATTAAGCAATCGGGCTGAAAATTAGTTTATTAAGATCATTATGTCTGGGTTTTGTTTCAATACGTATAGTCAGATATCTTAACACCTTTGTAAAAAACGAATTAACGTTGAGATTTATTTTTTTTTGTAAATGTATTTGAAATAATATTCTCTCATTAATTTGATATAACTTATGTACGTCATGATAGGAAATAATCACTACTTGTTATCAAAAACATTTAGAAAGTACTAAAAACTTTAAGCCAACTAAAAGTTCATAGAGAAACCGATATTTTCAATAATTTTGCACTTTGAAAAGTAGTTATAAAAAGAATAAGAACTCAGTTACTTACCATAAGCATTTTAATAGTTTGCCTCCGAAATATCTCCACTTCTGATGAGTATAAAACCATGTTTTTGCACAATAGTATTTCATTTACATGTATTAAGTTGATTGAGGATATTTCATGCAACCATATTATTATGAGTATTATTATTTTTGTAAAGCTTTAACAGTCGAAAGAAACAATAAAAGGTTAACTGTAGAAACGTAAAAAAAAGTTTTATTTTTATGTAGTAATTGTTTTCTTTTTTTAAGGCAAAAGGGAATCGAACCCATGATGTTAACGTTGTAAGTGCGTAAAACAATTCTGTACTGTTCATAGTAATCGTTATTCCTAGTTAACCGTAAAAATTAATAAAATGTTCATCCTGTATATTAACTACAGATTTTAACTGATCCGAGTTCATTTAGTAGTGTTCAGTAATTGCGATGAATCAGTAAATATGAGTGGAAATTAATTTTCACTACATTAATGTATGTTTTATACACTACAGATTTAAATTTGTTTGCTTCTTCTTTTCGTTTAAATGCAAAATTGCACACAGGGATCGAATCCCGAATTTTAGTGTTATGAGCACTCAAGC